TTTGTACCTACAAACATAAATTCTTCATAAAGTTGGGCATTTTTAGATTTAACTTAAGTTTAGATTCGATTCAGACCAAACTTGCATATTTTCTTAGCCTGTATCAGCTCTTCCTCTTTTGTGAGTTTCGTGTCGCCACAGACTAATCTGGGCAATAAAGACTCTTGCGCAAACCAGCCACAGCATGGAAAAGACTAATGCATAGGCAATTGGATTTAGATTTTTAATAGTGATTTAAACTCGTGTGTTGCTATAGGCATGCGTGAAAGTTTTCTTGGCAACAAGGATAATAATTTTACTTTTAAACCTAAGGATAATGCATTTTATACAAAAATGTATTTGAAAATCGTGTTTTCGGACGGAGTTATTTGAATATTCAATACGAAAACGGAGAACGTACTTGACAAACCAGCAGCACTGTTCTAAATGTATCTTTTACTTAAGCTCAAAATAAGAATTATGGAAGAAGTTTATCGAGTCTGTGAGATAAGTACCTTTTTACAATGAGACTTTGGTTACTAAAACACTATTTTCAGTATAATTTTGTAACGATTATAAAGTGTTCTTCAGCTTTGCAATCATTACTTTCTTGCATATGGTTGTGTGTTCCTCCTGGACCTCTTTCGCTACTTCTGTAGCTGTCTTTCGTCTTCTCACGAGGAGGCAATGAGGCGGTTGCCAGCTTTAGACTCAAGTTTTCAAGGTAACAACTCATCTCAGGTGACAGCTAATTTGCATGTTAAATACTCGAGAAACTCATTTACATGTTAAAAACGCTTATGTGAAATCGTTCTATAAAGTGTAGCTGGCTAGTTACGTTGAGCTCCGAGAAAGACGTGTGAAAACGCACGTTGCACTTTCACGGCTCACATATATCTTAACTTATTATTAAACTTGGGCACACAGTTAGTAATTTGTCACTTAACTACCTATTTTACGATTACATTAGGCATACTCTAGTCAATATGTTTCACGGGTTTAATGACTTTAGCACTTTTTCACGCCTTTTTTACTCGAAGATTGCGAAGCAATCGAAGAGTTACTGGAGGGGGACGAATCTGTCACTCATTCAATCACTCACTCACTCACTCACTTTCCTGTAAACTTGAGCCTGCGTTATTTGTGTTCAGAACTATTTMTTTATTYTCRTTGTTCTCTATTAATTTTCTCATTAAGTTACCGTTACCGGGTTCCCTGTTCTATATTTGATTGAATTTATTTATTTTTTGGCAAAGAAAGAAATCTAATGAAATGTCAGCTCCTCTGAGTCTTGAACTTCAGAACTCTGAATTAAGCCCCGTCTAGACGAGCAATTTTTATGTGACAATCTTTAATTGCCGTGTAGATGAGCAAAATTGGACAAATTTTATGTGACAACTGTAGTTGCTGGAATGCTAGTTTTTATGTAATTGTCACATATCGATAATTTCCCGTGTGGACGGGCGTCACATAAATGTAGTAATTACACCTTTTGCTGTTCATTAGCGTAAAACGTACACTCATTTGTGCCAAGCGWTGCTTCAATAACTTTTATTGTACTTTCTTGACCACCGTAAGCAACATCATTGGCGCGAAACCACTTTCAATAGCGATATTTAAATACGCGCGAGCATTCAACAGTATCAATAGACAATCAACTGAAAGACTGGACAATCATTTGGGTGGAACTTTGTTTCATGTGCGCGCAATGAAAATTCAATAGCACCAATTGACAAACGGTTGCATTTATTGACAATCATTCAACCAAAAATGAAACTTCATTAGTGTTATTAGCATAAACATAGGCAATCTATAGCGCGTTTGGACAATCATAGCCATTCGAGAATACATTCTTTAGTGCGTTTTGACAATCATTTGAGCGATTCAAAATACAATANGTTGTAGATCGAGGAATTGAAAAAGTTGAAAAGCTCTAGTAAAGACGAAACTAGTTTTCCTCAACCAAATCTTGTGTGTTCTGTGCGTCAAAGGAGGGATAACAGTTGTTTGACATCCTCTAAAATCAAGTTAATATTCTTGCACTCCTTATACATCAACATTCAAAGACTATCTGAATTCAATTTGAAAGTGTTTTTTGCATAATAGAGGCATGTGTTACAGGCTGTAGCACATCTGTTGCTTCTAGATACAAATCCAAAATTTCATTGCGGACTTACTTGGATAGTTTCTTTGTTATCTAGGTTTGAACATAAATGTACCAAAAACACAAATTTCTCTCTCCGACATATTAAGATATTTAAAAAAAAATTGTCCCTACAATTAGCCTTGTTAAAGCGGGTACTATTTGACTGTTTCATGGTACATGGGATATTGCTTCAGTTTTTAAGCAAAATTGTTTTTTGGCACACTAAAACCAAGACTTTCAATGAAACATCTTTTGTCTACTGACTGTATCAATAAATCCTTGATACGTTTAAACGTTTGATTTAATTGGACTAGAGACATCGATTGTTATTATTGGTTTTTGACACTTGCGTTTATTTTTTCGCGCCTTTCGCTGTCAGATGTAGCGCTACTAGACGTGGCAGCATTTACCCAAAGATGGCAAATTTTACATATTTGGCTAAAACAAAAGTCAAACTTAGCAGTTTTTGGGTAATTTCATCAGTAATGAATGTAGAGAAATGAAGCCATAATGTAACTTTAAGCTCTTTATGTTGGAAGCCCACGTGATCATGTGATCACTAGTATTCGTCGATTTGCTTCACCTTTGCTTTGATTTTGTTTGATATTCTGGTTTTCCTTGCGAATAATTTTTATTTGGCAAACTCAATTTTTTTTCGCCTACCAACATGAGAAATATTAGTCAATGTTACGTCTTGAAATTWATATTGTKTGCTTAATAATTGAACTCCAAGTTTTCTTAGGGATTTAGTTGTTATTGTTTTTTGACACTTGCGGTGATATTATTTTTTATTCGGATCCAGATGTAGCGCTTCTGGTCGTGGCACCATTTACTCATAGTTCTAGCTCGAGTGGTATTCATCTCACCGGCGCTCGGTTGTGTTTATCCAGAACCGAAGTTAAATAATAAAACTATATTCATAAATCGTTTATTTAAAATTCTATTCATTAAGTAATTATAATTTGATTCATCATTATATCTTTCTGTATTCGTCTGCACAATCAATCTTCGAGTTGTGTTGCCATTGGCGGCTTGATAAATGTTTGTACTCTAATGTTCCTATACTTCAACCCATGTTGGAAGTATCTCACGATTAAAATAATGCTCGCTATCGATATTTTTTGAGAATTAGGCAAGCGGTAAATCTTTTCAGGTCCAATCTCGTCCCCAGAGGCTATTTTCACATAACGTGCAACCTGGAATACACGATATAATTTCTCGCTCTATGCGATAGATTCTTCATTTCAGACCCAATTGCAGTATGATCTCTCCAGAACCTATTATCCATGTCGCGCATGCGTAAAGTGGAGTACTATTTGGAGAGCGACATTGATTCCGGTCGTTCTGCTTCAGAGAAACAATGTTAGGATTATAAATGCAAAAACTAAATTCCCGGAACACTTTCAAATTGTTAATAGGTAAATGTTCCGAAAAAATGAGATCACAGGTAATTTCCATTTATGGGAATTTGATTTTATTCTCTTCTTTTTATTTATGTTTTCTTACTACATTTTTGTTTATATTTTGTTTTGTTTGTTTTCTTTTCTTTTCAATTTGACGTACCATGACGTCACTTCGAATGATATCGGAATTTGTTCTAGAATATTTTGGCCGGTTGACCGCCTGAGCAATGAAGTAAAATCTCAAAAAAATGTCTTTGCTATTCAAGGTCTTCCTTCTGGCAATTATTTGTGGTGGTGGGTTCTTGTGCGCTTCCGAAGGTATGGTTTTTTGTAATGCTAGACTCATAACAACTCAACAACAGCTGTACAACAGCTTTTAAGCACTGGTTCTGAAGAAATATGCAATACTTTCAATATTTAACATTTTCAAGTGCTTTGTTAACCATCAACATTACCCGAAATTTGGCATTATTTACTGATATCTATATACTCTTTATATGAACACGAACTATACTTATAGTCAATTTATTGACGTTGTTCGGTTGTAAAGACAGCATATATATATATCATATTTTATTCTTTGCAAGAATATTTCACCTTAAAGTCTAAAAATTATTTACAATGTACATAACCTTTATTTTGCTGTATATATAAAGTTTTTTATGCACATAGAGTGCACGTCACATGAGCATGAAACAATTCTTAACTAATTAGCGCCTAATAAGATTTAGTTATTCAACTAACTAAGAATTTAGTAAGGCATAAACAAAGACAAGTTTCCTTTCTGGCATTGTGTTCATGCCCCAGTGAATTCTTAGTTAGTTGATAACTAAATCTTATTAGGCGCTTATTAGTTAAGAATTGTTTCATGCTTATTGTGACGTGCACTCTAACTTTGCTGTCTTCTTTATATGTCTTTACAAGTGAACAAAGTTACTAGAAACGACTGTACGCGCAGCTTGAAACTTGTCGTTTTTATTTGAATGTTTTTTATTTGCATTCTTTTGTTATACAAACAAACGTAAGACAATCTCGTACCCATCGCCACTGTCCCTCTTACTCGCAGGCTCGACGAAAAACATTGGCTCTGGAAATATGCAATACCGGAAGCCAGAATCAGGCTATTTCACCCTTGCGCAGTAGAAATTCCGACATAACGGCTTTATTTCACTGATTTTACTCAAGAAAATTGGCTAAATGAGCAAAATGAAAGCCTTCGAAGTCAGAAAAGGGATTTTTTAGACCTTAGATGATAAATCTATCTTCTTCGAAGCTATTTTGATATCTATTATGATCAGATCGTTGCAGACAGTGACGGTTAGCGATTATCATGGCGTGACAGTTCGTCGCCTCGCTGTATTCCATTCCACTTAATTGATCACATTACTCTCAAATGCTCACTTCATAGACTTAATAAATGCTTTTAAAGGAAGAATTCAAGTTGAGGTAGCGAAATACAGAATGATTTGAGTGTTTTCTCGGTGATATTTTCGCTTCCGGCGGCAAGTTGTTTATTTTATGAGCCTCTTGGACTAGTACTTTTTTTTTTTTTGGCTATGGCATTCTTAAAATAACTAAAATAACTAAATTCTCTCCCATTTCCTATCTATCATCTTATTTTATTCTACTATCTCCTACTTTATACCCAACAGAAACATTGATATTTTCATATCTTTACTTTATGAATGACACTAAACTTCATCAAGGGTTTGAACCACTGAAAACTTTCTTGATAGTCCATGGTACTCACAATTATACCATCGAGTATTCTGTTGGTAGTAACGTTTGCAAATTGTTTTCATTCATTCTCGTACCCAGACCCTACTCTGTCGGCCTCTAGCGGCCTGTCGTAGGCTCTGGGGCACCCTATAGACCGGAAGCAAGAAATCTTGCTTCCGGTTTATGTTAAGCTCTCTCTCGACTCTCCAGTCTCTCTCCGAATGGTTTTTCCGGGTAATCGCTGGTAAAGACCGGACCGGATTATATATAATCTAGGTTTCCTGTGCCGCTAAAATAACCGCTACAAGTGTTATGGAAATTTTGAATTTTCTTCTACTACAAATATCCTTATGTCGACTCCTGTCATCATAAAATCATTGAGAATTATGGCAATTCTTGAGCTTTGACCTTGCTTAAAAAACAGATGAAATAAGTCCGTGAGGTCAAGTGAGTTCACGGCTGTCGTTAATCCCGGCTAATGGGTGCTTCAGCGAGAAATATCATTTACTTGAGACGTATTTTTATCTTGATTCAAAACATTTTTCGTACCAAAGTTTGATGTCGCAAAGAATGATGACACAGGTTTTTATTTCAACTCGTTTAGAGACAGAATAGGCAAGAATATGTACGAAAAAACGTACTAGTTATATATTAAATAAAATTAAAAATATTTGAACGTTTGATCGCGGTTACAATTTTATTCATCTGTTTGTTATTTGAATTAGCCAATCATGTGGCTCTAAATTACAGTGTGTCCCAGAGCCTACGAGAGGCCGCTAGAGGTCGACAGAGTAGGATCTGGGTACGAGAATGGTTTTCATTATAATTGCCAGCTTTCATGTCCGAGCAGGAGACTGAGTTCGAGATTTAATATTGCAAAACCTATATCATCTTGAAGAGCACATCAAAATTGATAATATCAACAGGTTTGATTTAGTTCAGATGACTATTTAAGAAATTTAACCTGTTCAAAAATTTTAAAATTTACAAAGGAATGTACAGTGGGGAAAGCATTCCCCACAATCTATAGATGTACACTTGAGTAAGAGCGTTTTTTAATGGCTGTGATTTTTGAAAAAATCACTCGATTGCCACCAAACTTTCCATTTATATTGATATATATTTGCTCTTTCAGATTATGTAGGTCACACACCGATTTGTACAATTTTACAACATGTACCCAGTTTCCTACTCGGTAATGAAAGTCGGCAATAGTAATTTATTCATGAAGAAAATTATCATAATGTTGGCTCTACCCTATTCCTAACCCTAAACCTAACTCTGAACCTAAACGCTAAACTGCTTTGAACTGGATTGAGATATATTGGACTGGCTCAAAATAAACTGAACCACTTATTCCCAGAAATTCGATACAACATGGCGCGACGCATGCGCATTAATTATCTGCTCGTCTAATCCACGGCATTTTAATGAGCAATAAAATACAAAGAAATGTATGCAATACTTTATTCATCTTCAAATATTTCTGTTATTTTTGACGTTCGAATTTTCCTACAAATCGTATTTTGAGGTTTGATGTATTGTCTTTTACAAGCCGTTTCGAAGTCCTAAACCGGTTCCAAAATCAATTGAAAATACTCACCAAAATAGCCGTCAGCCGCTATACTAGAATAAAACACTTGACATCCGGTTGTTGAGGTCCTCATAAAGGTTGTTGAGGTCCTCATGTCTTAACTACCAGATTTCTCATACCCACAAATCTTATTCGTTAGAACACATACTAAGCTACATTTTTGTGCCAAAAAAAACATAAAAACACGACCTAAACCGGTTCCATTTTCCTTCGAAGAACTGACATTCTTTGACCTCTCGGATTGTGGAATGCGAAGGTCCAAGTCGATTTTTTTGAGCAGAAACAAGAGATTTCGTACTTCTACATGATCTAACACGCCATTTGTTTCTGTTTATACCTTAGTAACCTCCTGCATGTCTCTTCATGTAGCAAAATAGGCATTTTCTAGAAAAATAAGCATTTCGGGTTTCCTGTGTGAAAGATTTTGGCGGGGATATCGAAACAATACAAAGAAGGTATGTCAGATGAAAGAAAGGCGTCTCTTTTTAAATACAAAGAAATACTACAGTTCAGGGAGCTTAAACTTAGATAGTGGATTTTTGACCAGAAAACCGATTTTATGCTGTTAAAATCCCGTTTCCTTGCTTCACTAATACATGAGCCCGCGTGTTTACATCGAACCGCTGACTGTATCAAATTTCTGGGAATGAGTTCAGAAGAAATTGAACTGGTTCAAAATCATATTGAGCCTGAACTACAACATATGGATACACCGGACAAAATTGCTTAATTGGTGAGTCAATGACAATAAAATTATGCAACACACAAGAAAAAGTTTTGCTGTAACTTATTTTCTCTGAATAGAAATCGAGGAATGCGCAAGTAATCCATGTCAAAATGGCGGAACATGTACAGATTTGATTAACGACTATAATTGCAGCTGTGTGCCTGGATACACCGGACGCAATTGCTCAATTGGTGAGTCGGGTGATGTGTCCTCTTGTTATTCAAATTATACATCAAAACAAACAATACGCCATTGCGCAGAATCACATACGGGAAAATTCTAAAATATCAAAATTATATATATAAAAAAAAAAATTATGTAACACACAACGAAAAAACTCTAGCTTATTTGCTCTGAATAAATTACGACGAATGCGCAAGTGATCCATGTCGAAATGACGGATCACGTACACTGATTTGATCAACGATTATAATTACATATGTGTAACTGGATATACCGGACGAAATTGTTCAATTGGTAAGTCAATGACGATAAAATTACGTAACACAGCCAAAAAACGTGTTGTAACTTCTTTGCTCTGAATAGATATCGACGAATGCGCCAATAATTTTACAAAAATATCAAATACCCCAACGAAATCAAGCACTCAAACGACATCAAGTAATCCGACAACATCAAGTACTCCAACAACATCAAGTACTCCAACAACATCAAGTAATCCAACAACATCAAGTACTCCAACAACATCAAGTACTCCAACAACATCAAGTACTCCAACAACATCAAGTACTCCAACAACATCAAGTACTCCAACAACATCAAGTACTCCAACAACATCAAGCACTCCAACAGCCTTAAGCACTCCAACGGCATCACGTACTCCAACGCCTTCAAGTTCTCCAAAAACAGCAAGTACTCCAACAACATCAAGCACTCCAACAGCCTTAAGCACTCCAACGGCATCACGTACTCCAACGCCTTCAAGTTCTCCAAAAACAGCAAGTACTCCAACAACATCAAGCACTCCAACAGCCTTAAGCACTCCAACGGCATCAAACACTCCAACGCCACCAAGTACTCCAACGCCTTCAACTACTCCAACAACATCAAGTACTCCAACAACATCAAGCACTCCAACAACATTAAGCAGATCAAGTACACCAACAACATCAAGTACTCCAACGACTTCAACTACTCCAACAACATCAAGTACTCCAACAGCATTACGCACTCCAACAGCATCACGTTCTCCAGCAACATCAAATAATCCAACACCATCAAGAATTCCAACAACTTCAAGTACTCCAACGCCCTCAAATACTCCAAAAATATCAAGTACTCCAACAACATCAAGTATTCCAACAATATCAAATACTCCAACAACATCAAGTACTCCAGCAACATTAAGCACTCCAACAACCTTAAGCACTCCAACGGCATCACGTACTCCAACGCCTTCAAGTACTCCAACAACATCAAGTACTCCAACAACATCAAGTACTCCAACAGCATCAAGTACTCCAACAGCATTAAGCACTCCAACAGCCTTAAGCACTCCAACGGCATCACGTACTCCAACGCCTTCAAGTACTCCAACAACATCAAGTATTCCAACAATATCAAATACTCCAACAACATTAAGCACTCCAATGGCAACACGTTCTCCAGCAACATCAAGTACTCCAACAACATCAAGAACTCCAACACCATCAACAATTCCAACAACATCAAGCACTCCAACGACATCAAGCTCTCCAACGCCATCAAGTACTCAAACAAAATCATGTACCCCAACGTCATCATGTTCTCTAACAACATCATGCACCCCAATGATATTATGTGAAAAGATATCATGTACCCCAAAGACGTCAATCACTCCAACCACATCAAATGACCCAATGACATCAAGCATCCCAAAAATATCAAGCACTCCAACGCCAACAAGTACTCCAACAAAATCATGTACACCAATGAATTCATGTGCTCTAATAACATCATGCACTCCAATGATCTTATATAAAAAGATATCATGTATCCCAACGACATCAATCACTCCAAGAACATCAAGTATCCCAACGCCTTCAAGTGTTCGAACCACATCAAGTACTCCAACGACATCAAGCACTCCAACAAAATCATGTACCCAAATGACATCATGTTCTCTATCAACATCATGCACCCCTCTGATATCATATAAAAAGATATCATGTACCCCAAAGACGTCAATCACTCCAACCACATCAAATGACCCAATGACATCAAGCACCCCAAAAATATCAAGCACTCCAACGCCAACAAGTACTCCAACAAAATCATGTACCCCAATGAATTCATGTTCTCTAATAACATCATGCACTCCAATGATCTTCTATAAAAAGATATCATGTACCACAACGACATCAATCACTCCAACCACATCAAGTACCCCAACGACATCAAGCACTCCAACAAAATCATGTACCCAAATGACATCATGTTCTCTAACAACATCATGCACCCCACTAATATCATATAAAAATATATCATGTATCCCAAGGACGTCAATCACTCGAACCACATCAAGTGACCCAATGACATCAAGCATCCCAAAAACATCAAGCACTCCAACGCCAACAAGTACTCCAACAAAATCATGTACCCCAATGAATTCATGTTCTCTAATAACATCATGGTATCCAATGATATCATGTAAAATGATATCATGTACTCCAACGACATCAATCACTCCAGCGACATCAAGTTACCCAACATCATCAAGTACCCCAATGGAAGCAAATATTCGAGCCCCATCAAGTACTCCAACAAAATTGTGTACCCCAACGACATCACGTTCTCTAACAACTTCATGCTACCCAATGATATCATGTAAAGTGATATCATGTACTCCAACGACATCAATCACTCCAGCGACATCAAGTTACCCAACATCATCAAGTACCCCAATGGAACCAAGTAATCCAACAACATCATGTACCCCAACAACATCACGTTCTCTAACAACATCATGCTACCCAATGATATCATGTAAAATGATAACATGTACTCCAACGACATCAATCACTCCAACGACATCAAGTTACCCAACATCATCAAGTACCCCAATGGAACCAAGTACTCCAACAACATCATGTACCCCAACAACATCACGTTCTCTAACAACATCATGCTACCCAATGATATCATGTAAAATGATACCATGTACTCCAACGACATCAAATACT